CATCATCACCACCACCACCACCATCAGTATCACCATCACCATCACCATCATCATCATCATCATCATCATCATCATATTCAGCATCAGCGTCAGCATCATTATCATCAGCAGCAGCATCATCATCAGCATCATCATCGTTTTCATTATCATCATCACCATCGTTATTATCATCATCATCATCGTCATCATCATCGTCATCATCACCATCATCGCCATCAGCATCGTCCCCATCATCATCAGCATCAGCATCATCATCATCAGCAGCAGCAGCGTCCTCAGAAATATCAGCATCATCACCATCAGCATCAGCATAATCGTCATCACCATCATCATCATCATCATCATCATCATCATCATCATCATCAACCGCAGCATTATCATCAGCATGCGCATCCGCATCCGCATCTCCATCATCCTACACACTAACAACAAGGCAAACAACCTGCTGGTGTACCCGGACCCGGCCCTCCAATTCGCCCATTCACTCTACGTAGTGAAACATCTCACTGGTGTACTCAAACCCCCCCCGCAACGCAACGCAACGCAACACGGTTGCCGGTGCAGCATTGGTTGCGTTGCGTTGCGTTGCGGGGGGGGCGGCGGAATTGGATACTCCTCTGTAGGGAATCCTTCGGAATCCCTAGCGAATGGTTAGAACCCCTAGGGAATCCTGAAGAATCCGTAGGGAATCCTGAGGAATCCCTCCGGTCGAGGGAATCCTCAGGAATCCAAAGGGAATCCGTAGGGCATCCTCCGCAGACCGGGGAATCCTTAGCACTACCTAAGAAATCCTGAGCACTCCCTGAGGAATCCCTGGTACTCCCTAAGAAGTCCTTAGCTCTTCCTACGGAATCCTGAGCACTCCCTAAAGATCCTTAGCACTCCCTACGGAATCCTTGGTACTCCTTGGGACTCCCCACGGAATACCTAACACTCCCTACGGAACCATTAGGACCCAAGTGGCAATCCTCGGGAATCCATCGGGAATCTTGAGGGAATCCTTGGAAATCCTTCGGAATCCAAAAGAAATCCTTGGGGAACCTTTATCCCTGAGGAATGCGCCGACCCTGTCGGCGTGTGGAAGAGCCTGTTCCGTTCAACTCGTCGTCGTCGTCGTCGAAGTCGTCGTGGTCGTTGTCGTCGTCGTCGTCGCCTTCGCCGCTCCCCTCTCCTTTCCCTGGGCCCGCTTTAATTGAGTCGAAGGGAATCCCGTCCCTTTGATCCCTTCCCCGCTTGGAAGGGGGGGTCCCGGGGGGGTTGCGGGGGGTTCAAGCGGGGATCCCCGACGGGTCCCGTCCCAGGGGTGTCATGGCGGGGGTCGCCACCCATATACGACTCCCCCCGGAGCGGTTCGGGGGCCGAGAAAAGCCCCAAGAACGATAAAGTGCCCCAAGATGCCCCCCAGACGGGCCCCGAATCGCCGAAGTATTGGTCCAAGTCGCCAAAGTAGCCTCCAGACGGCTCAAAACGCCCCAAGAGGCCTCCAAGTGGACTTCCAAGAGGGCCCCAAGGGGCAAAATCAGCGAGTCCCTTAGAGTTTTTTGGAAGATGTCGGTATTCTCGCCTTGTCAGCTTCCCCACGCCCCAAGACGCCCCCAAGACCCCAAGATGGCCCAAGAGGCCTCCAAGAGGCCTCCAAGACAGCCGAAGAGGCCCCCAAGACGCTCCAAGAGGGAACCCAGACGAGGGACCCGAACGGCCATGTCGAGCCCTCGGCCTGAAAAGCTCCCAGGAGGCCCCCAGAGGCCCCTAAGAAGCCCCCCGAGAAGCCACAAAAGGCTCCAAAGAGAAACCCCGGAAGCCCCAAGAAACCCCCACGAGGCTCCCAAGCGGCCCCCAAGAGCCTCCCAGGAGGCCCCCAAACCCCCCCCAAGAGGCACCCGAGAGCGCTCGTCGTCGGCGTCGTCGTCGTCGCCGCCGCCGCCGCCGCCGTCGTCGTCGTCGTCGTCGTCGTCGTCGCCATTCAGGGTCGGCGGCACTGGCAATAAGGCCTTCGCAATCCTTAGCATCCCCTAAAGAACCCCTAGCACTCCCAAGGGAGTCCTTCGGATGCCTTAGGAAACCCATACGAATCCTGCAGGAGTCCGTAAGGAATCGCTACGAATCCCTAAGGAATCCTTGGGAATCCCCTAAGGAATCCCTAAGGAATCCCTAAGGAATCCCTAAAGAATCCATAGGGAATCCACAGGAATCCTGTCGGAATCTCTAAGGAATCCTCAAAAATCCTGAGCACTCCCTAAGGAATCCGTGACACTCCCTAAGGAAACCTTAGCTCCCCCTACGGAATCCTGAACACTCCCTAAGGAATTCCGAACACTCCCTACGGAATCCTTCGCACACCCCGAATTCTTGGGGGGCCCTACGGGATATATAAAAACTCCCGACGGAATCCTTATGCCATTGGTAACCCTTAGGAGGCAAATTGGAAGCCTGACGGAGTCCTTAGGAATCACCTGGGAACCCTCTGAAATCCCTAAGGAACGATTTTGGGGAATCCCGA